GAAGTTAAGCGTGCTTGGGCGAGAGTAGTACTAGGATGGGTGACCCCCTGGGAAGTCCTCGTGTTGCACCCCTTTTCTCCTTTTGTACAGTTTTTTTTTTTTTTTCTTTTCCCGCCGCTGAAGCAATTTTTTTTCTTTTCCCCCCCCCCCCCCCCCCCAAGGGATGAGTTGGTGGTTGAGTTGTGCTGAAATTTGTGAAAATCAGCTAGCTCCATGTGTGAGTGGGAGCCAGCTCGCTATGTGGGCTGAACCGATCCCAAACGACTTTGTTTAGCTCATCCCATGTAACATCTCCATATGATGTAAAAGTTATGGATGCATCACAAGTTGACTAAAACCGACCAATAGGATAGCCAGGGAACGGACCCAAGACAGAGGTTTAGTAGAGGACGAAACCAAAAAATAGGGTGAAACAAAAAAACCTTAGAAAATTCTGAAAACTTAAAAAAACCTGAAGAAAAACTGAAAATTTGAAAATCTAATGAGGGCGGCCAACCTCGTTGGACCTCAAGTTGGTCCGCACCCGAGGATAACTGGAGAGAGAGAGAGAGAGAGAGAGAGTTAAACTGTGACCAGAAGTTGCATTTTATTACTAAGTCGTGTTTGGTGGTAGTTAAAATTTTTATTAAAATTTAAGTTAAAGTCAATAATTAATTTTAACTACATATTTTATAAGATTCATAACTTTTCAATCACAAATTTTATTATTTTTTTATCAAAATCTATTAAATATCTGATTTTAACCCTATCAAACAGGAGCTAAATGTTATATATAAAATGAATAATTATACTACACAAACAGGCTCAAAGAGAGGCTAAAAAATAGGGGGAACACGTGTCGACATACGATTTGACAGTTAAAAAAAATAAAAAAATCCTACCATGTGCTACCTAGCTAGTCTGTCCAACTTTTGTTCGCCTCTGAACCTGTTCAACCATCGTTATTCTAAAACGAACAACTTGGGGGACTTGTGAAGGTGCAAGGAAGAAATAACTTTTATACTGTACACTCCTTCTTCGGATGGGATATTTATTTATTTATTTATTTTCCATTATTAGTTGGAAGTCAAGCAAACACCTTCCTGAATATACACTATATTTTAACTTTGTTATTAATAAATTATATCTGTAGTTAAAAAAGGGAAAGAAAACAGGACCCTGTTGGGGCTATTTACCCATGTTTATAAAAATCATGGTTAGTTCCTTAAATAAAAGGAAAAAGTAGTTTGAACCACATAGAAAGCTGATAAATTGCCTGGTAATTTCTTTCATATGCTAGAAATAAATCGGAAGAATTATAGTAAAGATATCCAATATATACGCCTTGTTGCAATTTGGTCATTAACATATTTTTCTTGACAGCATGACACCTAACCTATCTATTTTGGTGTGGGGTTGGTCTTGAACGAGGGATATGGCATATTTGATGGTTGAAGTCAAAATTTCGCACTTTTTCTCTGAGGTAATGCCAAGTTCTGATTAGGAGATCGAGTTTGTGTTTGGACACTTTCCCTCCGGCCCATGACATGGCGAGAAGGGAAATCTTGCTCACGAGTCATGAGCCCACCCAACTACATTGCCAACCAATGCCACAACAGGCCACATCTAAAGAAAATCTGTCTTCAAACATATGGAAACTGCTTTTGCTTTTCAATATGAAAGCAATACACCACTCAAGAAACCAAATAATTGCTTTATCTCAAGCAAATCGATTTTTTCATTTTTCTTGAACCACAACTAATTATTGTTGTAGCAAATTTTGCAAAATTTGTTAGGTTGTGGATCACGCCACCAAGAAAATATATCCAATAAGGTCTAACACCATACCATAACACATGTTGTAGATCATGCCACCAAGAGAAAAATCGTTAAGGACCAACTTACAACAAATCATATAGGCTATGAATAAAAATTAATTGGAATAGGAAAAATAAAATATGCAGCTTTGTACAAAAGTTGAATTCTGGTGATATTTGGCATTTGCTATGATGAGAGCGGAGACTTGTGAATGCCCATTCAAGAAAATGCTTTGAGATGCCACCCGGGGTATAGTCTAGTGGTGTAAAGGACAGAAGTGATGTTATTTCACGTCTTGCTGGCAGCCGCAGTGTGGGGGTTCGATTTTTGAGACATGGAATTGGACTCCTTGTAAGCGCAGTGTAGCTTTTGTTCTCTAGTCTGTTGGGACACATTCCGCGATTTACCTCCCTCACAAAGCTCTAGGGGTGGGGCTGTGGGGGCCCTCAAGATTGGAGTTCAGCCCCAAAATTTGATTTTAACCCTTTTTTTTTTTTTTTTTTTTTTTTTTTTTTTTTTTTTTTTTTTAAATTAAGAGAACAGTCTCAAAAAGTTAATCTTGTTAAAAAGGCAGGTCCAACCTTCATATGAAATTCAAGAGCCGGCTGCCTCAAGCCTAAAATTTTTGGGGTTCCACGTTTCTTAGAAAATGTGCTATATTTTTTCTTTTTCTTGAAAACATTGGCACATCCAATTTAATTATCATGCGCAATTAAAAATCCACTTAAAACTCATTTTCTTTTCAATTTGAAAAGTAGAAATTACACCGAGGGCTTTTTTCAAGTTTGCATTTCATAAATAAGATTTTAAGTTTTCAGCTTTTGTAATTTAGGTTATAATTAATTATTTAATATTTATTAAATAAATATATGATTAATAATA